GATATTTATTTTTTTTATTTCCTCTTGTAAACTTTGAGCTATTTACACTAAAATCTTGTTTGACTCTTTACTGTAGTTTTATGGTTTTCAAAAGTATTTATGATGTTTTATGATTGTTTATGATATGTGTAAAAAATAAAGAAAAATGATGAAGAAACGTATCTGACTTTTTGGTTTTCATTATATATTAATGAAAAAAAAATTATATGAGCAAAAAAGTTATTCAAGTTTCGCTTTAGTGAGAAAGTAATGTAACATTCTGCTTATGTTCCTTTTGAAATAAAAATAATTTGACTGATTTTAATTAGAACAAATGTTTTGTTACTGAACTAACACATATTTACAGTACACTGAATTTTAATTTATGAGTGAAGTGTCATACAATTAAATTATATTCAATTCAGTTTATTATAAAGCGCCAAATCACAACAAAGTTGTCTCAGGGCACTTTACAGGAACATTCACATAAAAGCCAATTAGTAAAGTTCTCTATCTAAGGAATCCAGCAGACAAGTTGAATGTTGGCTTTGTCACAGTTGCCCATCCTGAGCAAGCACAGTGGCAACAGTGGAAAGGAAAAACTCCCTTTTTAAAAGGAAGAAACCTCCAGCAGAACCAGGCTCAGTACAAGAGGCCATCTGCTTTGACCGGCTGGTTGAGAGGACAGGAAGGAGAGACAGACGAACACAGAATGGTAGGTACAGGTATAGGTCCAGGTGTATCTGAAAGACAAAAAAAACATGTTAAGGATTGAAAAAATAATTACAAATGTTGAGCAGAGTAAGTAAAGACAGTAACAGAGTGAAAAATGTGGTCAGTTTGTCCTCCAGCAGTCTAAGCCCATAGCAGCATAACTAAGGGACAGCTCAGGAAACCCAAGTCGATCCTAACTATAGGATTTAGCAAAAAGGAAAGTCTCAAGCCCAGTTTTAAAACTGGATAATGTGTCAGCCTCACGGACAGAAACTGGAAGTTGGTTCCACAAGAGAGGAGCCTGATAACTGAAAGATCTGCCTCCCATTCTGTTTTTGTAAATTCTAGGAACCACAAGTAAACCTGCAGCCTGAGAGCGAAG